CACAGCTTAGAGGGAGCATTGGTCTCAACCTTCCTAATGCTGCGACCCTTTAATACAGTTCCTCATGTTGTGGTGACCCCCAACCATAAAATTATTTTCGTTGCTATCATAAGACCATCGGAAATTTGTGTTTTCCGATGGTCTTAGGCGACCCCAGTGAAAGGGTCGTTCGACCCCCAAAGGGGTCGCGACCCACAGGTTAAGAACCGCTGGCTTAGAGAGAACACTGCCTCAGATCTGTCTGTTCAATGTCACATCACACTAAGCCACCTCAAACTGAATCACACTTGGTCCATCAAGGTCAGAGTTGTCTGCTCAGGTAGCCAGCAGCTCTCGGCGGGGGGGGGGGGGGGGGGTCAGGTCTTTCCCATCACCCCCGGCCTGGTCCTTTTAACTGGAGATGCCAGGGATTGAACCCGGGACCTTCTGCATGCCAAGCAGAGGCTCTTCCACTGAGCCACAGTCCCTCTTTCCAGCTCTCCAGAGTCTCAGGCAGAGGTCTTTCCCATCACCCCCGGCCTGGTCCTTTTAACTGGAGATGCCAGGGATTGAACCCGGGACCTTCTGCATGCCAAGCAGAGGCTCTTCCACTGAGCCACAGTCCCTCTTTCCAGCTCTCCAGAGTCTCAGGCAGAGGTCTTTCCCATCACCCCCGGCCTGGTCCTTTTAACTGGAGATGCCAGGGATTGAACCCGGGACCTTCTGCATGCCAAGCAGAGGCTCTTCCACTGAGCCACAGTCCCTCTTTCCAGCTCTCCAGAGTCTCAGGCAGAGGTCTTTCCCATCACCCCCGGCCTGGTCCTTTTAACTGGAGATGCCAGGGATTGAACCCGGGACCTTCTGCATGCCAAGCAGAGGCTCTTCCACTGAGCCACAGTCCCTCTTTCCAGCTCTCCAGAGTCTCAGGCAGAGGTCTTTCCCATCACCCCCGGCCTGGTCCTTTTAACTGGAGATGCCAGGGATTGAACCCGGGACCTTCTGCATGCCAAGCAGAGGCTCTTCCACTGAGCCACAGTCCCTCTTTCCAGCTCTCCAGAGTCTCAGGCAGAGGTCTTTCCCATCACCCCCGGCCTGGTCCTTTTAACTGGAGATGCCAGGGATTGAACCCGGGACCTTCTGCATGCCAAGCAGAGGCTCTTCCACTGAGCCACAGTCCCTCTTTCCAGCTCTCCAGAGTCTCAGGCAGAGGTCTTTCCCATCACCCCCGGCCTGGTCCTTTTAACTGGAGATGCCAGGGATTGAACCCGGGACCTTCTGCATGCCAAGCAGAGGCTCTTCCACTGAGCCACAGTCCCTCTTTCCAGCTCTCCAGAGTCTCAGGCAGAGGTCTTTCCCATCACCCCCGGCCTGGTCCTTTTAACTGGAGATGCCAGGGATTGAACCCGGGACCTTCTGCATGCCAAGCAGATGCTCTACCACTGAGCCACAGCCCCTCTCCTCCAATCTGGCCCATGACGATGAATGAATCGGGACACGGCATCGTTGTTATCACCCACGGCTCAGCCTCATTGGCTGTTTCCTGCGGGGACAGGTAGACTTGCCCCATGGGGACACCGAGTCACTTGCTTTGCAAAGCATTACAGGAGAAGGAGACGGGAGAACTTTGTTTTTTAGCAACCACCAGGACACGTTTTTGCCTCGCCCGGGGCTGCCGCCGGAAACCAGTTACAACTGGGGGATGTCGCCACCCAAAACCAAGATCTTCTGGCAGGCAAGATATCAAAACTCGGATCTTGCGCACGTAAACCAGCTGCTGTGCTACGGAATTTTGTCCCTCTGAAGCTAGTAGGAGCTAAGGAACATAGCAAAAGTTAGATATTATTGGTTTGGAAAGCCAGGGGCGAATACTCCCTCGCATTCACACGAAGCAGCCTGCCCTGAAAACCCATTTTTGTAAAAAAGGTCTTTTTCCCCCCACCCGGTTTGACAGAAATACACGGCACGAGGTCAGATGAGGGATTATACGGCCAGCAGTGAAATAGGCCTTGGAAGCAAGCCCTTAGTCCAAATGACGGCTGCCTAGCAATGCCAACCCCAGGTAGGGACATTCCAGGAGATTTGGGGCGCAAAGGGGAGGGTGGGGTTTGGAAAGGGATGGGACCGCAGTGGGGTATAATGCCACAGAGTCCCCCCCCCCCGTCAAAGATCAGCGGTAGTTCTGAGAGCTCTTGTAGTATGAATGGGACTATAATGATTTTTTAAAATTATTATTCATATTTTTTTGGTTTTATGGATTTTTCTCATATTAAGACTTTATTAGGATGTCATAAAGCCTACTGAATAGCAAGGCCTCTCCCTTGTAATGCTAGCAGGCAAGATACTGTCCATGGGGTTTGCCTGGCGTGATCTTGTCCATGGGGTCGCGAAGAGTCGGACTCGACTGTGCGGCTGAACAACAACAACAAAAAGCAGGCAAGAAAACAACATTCATTTTCTCGTTTCACGTTGTTTGGATGGAATAGCTATCTGACTGTCTAGTGTTCCTAACAGGTTTTCAGTGCAGTGCAGAAAGATAGGTTTTTCAATAGATGTATTTGCTTGAAGTATAGAATTTGTGGTTTTAGTTTGGGGTAAAACTCCACGGTGTCTGGGTCAAAAAGGGCTTTAGTTTCATATCAGGAAAAAAAAACACCTTCTGTTTGGGTATGAAGAATCCTTGGGTATTATTATTAAGGTTAGGTTAAATAAACATTTAAGATACCATGTAGGCACACCTTTTCCTGTATTTGACCAATGAGTGAATGACTACTCAGATGATGCACTGTCATTTTGTGACCAATGATGAGTTCGGGAAGTTATTTATTTATTTATTTATTTATTTATTTAATTCGATTTCTAGCCTGCCTTGCCTGACAAGCAGGCTGAAGGCTGCGTACAATAATAATCTACAATAAAAACAGATAAAATCCGACAATAAAATATAAAGCACAGATTAAATACAAGCGATAAAGTGCAGGTGGCGATCGTTGTCGCTGGCCCCGTATGACTAGACCAGTATCCCAAAGAAAGTGCCAGTAATAGATCTTCAGTAGCTCGTTCAGTGGCGGCTCCAAATCAAAAGCGTGGTGGTAGAGCTCGGTTTTACAGGCCCTGCGGAACTGTAGAAGGTCCCGCAGGGCCCTGATGTCCTCCGGGAGCTCGTTCCACCAGTATGGAGCCGCCACTGAGAAGGCCCTAGATCTGGTAATAGCCAGTCTGGCATCCTTGGGGCCAGGGACAGTCAGGCGATGTTGAGTCCCCAACCTCAGTGCTCTCTGTGGAACGTGTGGGGAAAGGCGGTCCCTCAGGTAGGCAGGCCCCCGGCCCTATAGGGCTTTAAAGGTCAAAACCAGCACCTTGAAGCGAATCCGGTAAGCTATTGGCAGCCAGTGCAGCTCTCTTAGCACAGGCCGGATGTGCTCTCGAATAGAGAGGCCCATCAGCAGCCTGGCTGCTGCATTCTGCCCTAGCTGCAGTTTCCGGATTTGGGACAAGGGCAGCCCCATGTAGAGAGCGTTGCAGTAGTCCAATCTCGAGGTGACCATAGCGTGGATCTTCTTGGCTATGTCACTTTGGGTATAAAACTTCATGTACTTCCTTATTGTGCTCAGAAAGTAGTCAACTTTTGATAGGCTGGTTTGGCCTAACTGTTTTCACTTGCTTTAATTGCAGTTAAAATCAATGAACGTTCCTCCTCATTTTGACTTATCCTTTTGGCTTGGGAATCTATTTGTGCAACACTCTCCAGGGCTCATGCGGAGGCAGGCAACCTTGCTGCTTCCTCTTATCTGCCAACACACACCCCGACTATCGATGCATGCTGTGAAATCACAGAATGAGGAATTTCAGACAGGCGACATATTCCGGAAGAGGAACGGTTCCCAAACGGTTTCTGGTCTGTCATTTCAGACAGAACCCGTTTGAGAACCGGTTCCCTTTTGGAATATATTTGCCATTTCATACACAAACGCTTCTGTCCCGTTTAGGAATCGGGACTGAAGCGTTTTACCTGTCAACCGCTTCCAAGTAGTCTTCAGTTCCCTCTCCCGGTTCTGATACACTTTTTTCCTGCTGTTTTTCGCCCGCGCGGGCGATCTCCGGCTTCTTTTTTTTAACATTTGCTTCATAGCGTTATAGCGCGATAACGGAATCACATTATATCAATCCCATTGGAATGCATGGAGTGTTTTGTTATACTGCTATAGCGCTATAGCGCTCTAAAACGTCCGTTCAAAAAAAAAACCCAGAGATTGCCCGCACGGGCGAAAAACGGTGGGGGAAAAGCGGGAAAAAGCGGTGCAGTCTGAAATGGCAAACTGCTTCAGATCCAGCTCTTTACCGGAAGGGGAAAGCCCTGTGTGAAATGGCAGCCCTGTACCGGTTCACTTTAAAACAGATCATTACTGGCTTGAAACCGGGTGAAACTGGGTAATGTGAAATTCCTCTATGTCTGCAAAACAATTCAACCACTTTTCGGTAAAGGTGTCCATGTAGGGATACCGGGCACCAGCAGAAGGGCATGGGAGGGAGAATGGAAAGTATGCTGATGTCACATCTGTGCACACACACACACCCCAATTTCTCCTATGCAGCCTGGCAACCCTATGTCCATAACAGGGTGTTAAGCAACAACAGAGTTCTGGAGAACTCGAGACAGCTGTGTTGTGTCATTCGGGGTGATTTTAATAAAAGGCACTGAATAAAAGCTTTTGCTTTCCTACTCAGCTCCTGTGAAGCTTCAGATGGCGGAGAGGAGACCGGGGTAATCCAAACCTCCTTTTCCCTTCCCCTCCCCACAACAGACACCCTGTGAGGTAGGTGGGCCTGAGAGAGCTCTTTCGGGAACTGCCCCTGAGCAAAGAGCTCTGAAAGAACTTGTGACTGACCCAAGGTCACGCCAGCAGCTGCAGGTGGAGGACTGGAGACTCAAACCCGGCTCTCCTAGATTAGAGTCCACACCCCTAACCACTGCACCGAGCTGGCTCTCCGGTTTGGAAGCAAGACGAAAACAAGGCTCACACGTCAGTCTGCATCTTGAAGCAGGCCTTCCCAACTCCTTCCGACGTGGGGTCCGATCTGCTCGACAGTGCCCAGCGGACCAGTTTGCTGCTTCTAAGGCCACTCAGGGCCAACTCCATTCGGAGTGCTGCCAGAGGTCGGCCGCCAGTTCTGAGCAAGGGCAGCTAATACTCCTCTGTCCCCACACCGGCTTTTTTAAAATTAGCCCAGCCATGCTGTTTTTTCAAGAGGCCGAGGAGATAGAGGGTGATTGGCGGCTCTAGTTCCGGGTCCTGGACCCAGCAGGCAAGGAGGCGGGTACAGAGAGGGGAGGCAGAAGAGGAGGCAGGCAGGCAGGACGCCCTTCCCAATTTGTCGCTGGTGGCCACTACCTCTGCTGGCCTGATTATACAGCCGGCCTGCACACAACTCCTGCCCACAAGCCAGCGGTCTCCACCAGCCTTTGCCCCAAGCAACCAAAACACGGAGGATGCTCAGTGTTTCTTCATCGTACACTCGTGCTCCAGCAAGAAAAGCCAGCAGAAGAGCTGCAGTCCGGCCACCCCCGTTTTAGAGTTTTCACGACTAGCATAGCTTTACCAATGTCCTACCACACCCTGAACAATTGATGGCCATCCGTATTGTGATCACTTAGCATTTGCTGCTTAACCATCCAGCATTTTACTGACGCAAACAGTAAATCTGATATCCAAGTCACTTCGATACACTTTCTCAGAATCCTGCTCAGTAGACTTCAGCAGCATAGCCACAAACTACAAGAAAATATCAACGCCATTATCCGCACCACTAAGGAAAAAGAGGGGTTGATTAGATTGTAATCAGCTGTCTGCAGGGGTCATTTCCTGCGGGAGCGCACAGGGGCGCGGCTCCCACAGTAAGGAGCCCAGGGGGCAGGCACATGCAACAAGCCCCGCCCCCTGCTCCCAGCAGTCCTCAGTTGGGCCCCAAGGAGCAAGAAGCAGCCAGGTAAGTTGCAGAGCCCCCCCCCCTGCCTTCAGGTACAAGCTCTCCCTCCTCTGTGAGGGCAGATCTGAACGTTCCCCCCCCCAATAGCTAGCAATCCAAAACAGTCCAGTGGCAGCTGTAAGACCAAGTTTTATTCAGGTACAAGCTCTCCCTCCTCTGTGAGGGCAGATCTGCACGTTCCCCCCCTCCATAGCTAGCAATCCAAAACAATCCAGTGGAGCCTGAGCGGTGGGTGTTTCCTTCTTCTGGTGATGTCAGGGGGTGTGGCAAGTTAAAATAAGTTATGCTAATGAGCAGGGCTCTTTTTGTAGAAAAAGCCCAGCAGGAACTCATTAGCATAATAGGCCACGCCCAACAGCAGAAACTCATTAGCATATTAGGCCACACCCCTGACGGCACAGCTCATTAGCACATTAGCCCTGCTAATGAGCTCCTGCACCTCTTTTTCTACGAAATGACCCCTGGTTGTGCGTACCAAAGAAACTACCAAGCAAACCTTTCACGTAGTTTATATTTGCAGCTCACCAACAACTCAGCTGCACATCTGGGCTCGATTGCAGAACTCTAGATGGGAAATGATGCTCTCAAAACAGGACTTGCCACAACACCTTCTCCCCGACCCTCTCCCAATTCGCCCGCTGGGATTCAGGTACCCTGACATCCGATCACGGAGCAAGGAAGCTGGTCACTTCATGCCAACCCACCCACCCCCCCACCCCTGCCGCTCGGATTCCAAAAGGCGGCCTTCTCGTTCCTCCGTGCGTTCCCGCTCCACGCCAGGAAAGGAAGGGCAAAGAAGAGAACTCCAGAGAGCTAACGCTGAGTCACTTCAGAGCAGCTTCAAGGGTGTTAAGCCCCCCCCCCCCAATTGCAAGATTGATCCCCAGAGGAGGCACTCGAAGCCAGGTGGAGAGAGTCACCCGCTCTCCTCGCACCGGGCCTGCCTGCGCTTCTGTTTCGCCTGACAGCGTCACCCCCTGGAGGAAACTTCTCCTTAAACGCTGACCCCCCCAGAAAGCAGGATTGTGCTTCATCAGTCACCGTCCGCAGTCACCGTCCTCTGGTATTGACTCTGGGGAGTGGAGGGGGGCGGCTCCGAAAGAGGCCGATGCCCCGTCATCGCTAGTAGGAGTCGCAGCACCGGACATCCTTGGCCTTTCAGGGAGGAACCCGAGCAAAGAGAGGCGCATCGGATTGAGTTGCCAACCGTCTCACGGGAGATATGTTGTCGAAGGTGTTCCCGGCCGGAGTTCATTCGCTGTTGCAGATTTCCTGGGTTTTACGGCCGTGGTCATGGCATCGTAGGACCTGAGGTTTCGCCAGGACCTGGCGAAACCTCAGGTCCTACGATGCCATGACCACGGCCGTACGACCCAGGAAATCTGCAACAGCATCTCACGGGCCTCTGCTCTCCCGGCCTTTCCCCAGCAGTTGGCTGGTGTTCACGAGGCGGTGCCGCACACCCGCACGCCAGGCCCATAGCCACAGTGGGGCATTTCAGGGGCCCCGCCCCCTTAATCAAAAGCCCCGTCCCACAGATAGCCATGCCAGAAACCTTATTTTGGACCATGACCTCGGTGGTACTGGGCTAGCAGAAAGGGGGATTGTTGGAGATGTATTGAAGGTGCCCTTGTAAGCTTTCTTGCCCTGGGGAAGGGAACTTAAAAGGCATCTAAATGCCCTCTGAGCTGTTTTCTCCTAGGAACTGACGCACTCACCGCCCCGTCTCTTGAAAGGAAGGGCTAGAAACAGGCTCGGAGCCTCCCCCTTTAAAGACAGGCAATCGGATTAATTTAATTAAGTATCGTTAAAATTTTAAATGCCCCCCCCCCAACAAAGAATATCCTGGCTACGGGGCCTGCCGCAAGCTAGAAAAAGCTTCCCTAACTCATTTCCCCAGCTCGAGTTGCCATTCAAGGCCATGGAAACAAACCGGGGGGGGGAGGAGCTTCCTGCTCTGTTGGCAACCCTACTTATCTGAAGGGGGGGCAGAAGGAATGGGGAGAAGGAGAGGAGCACAGGCCTCCTTTCAGCCTGGGAGAGGGAGGACTGTGCCCAGCGCCTTTCAGTGTTCGTAGCAGATCTTTATGACACCCCTGCAAGGCGGGCCAGCGTCTCTGCCCCACTGCAGAGGAGGAAGGTGAAGCCAGTGACTCCGTGCCAGAGGCCTTCCTGGCGCTCTCTCTCTCTCTCACTCACACACACACCCATTCACCCACCAGATCCCGGGCTCCCGTACACCAGTGTTCCCTCTAAGCTGAGTTAGTGTGAGCCAGCTCACAGTTTTTTAGCCTCCAGCTCACACATTTTTGTCTTAGCTCAGGAAGGATGGCTCCAGAGCAAACTAACTTATGCAGTGGCCAAATCACTCGCTCACCACTTTAATGCCAATAGCTCACAAAGTAGAATTTTTGCTCAGAAGACTCCACAGCTTAGAGGGAACACTGCCGTACACCCACCCTAACGCCTTCGGTGCAGCCGCCGCAGAATTCCTCCGGCTGCAGAGGGGCAGGCGCGCTGCGGGTCTCCTTCCAGGCAAGGCTCTTCCCCCCGCCGAGCCCGGCGGACAGCACCCAGCCGCATCGGTGAACCAGGCAGGCCGAGCCCCCCAGTCTCCTGCGCCGCAGCGGCCGGAGCCTCCCCGTGAGCGGAGGCAGAGAAGCCAGCCCGGCCTGCCGGCTGCCCAGTCCATCCAACCGGTGCAGCTTCCCCACCTGCCCGCCCCCCAGTCCCGGCGCCGAGGCCCCGATCCCCGCGCCCGGACTCACCAAGTAGGCGCCCACCGTGCCCTGGGCCAGCATGAGGGCGCACTCGGAGACCAGGAAGACCTGGATGCTGGCGAAGCACGACGCGCCCTTCTTCCGGCGCTTCTTGGCGCCCGGCGGCGCCTCCTCCGCCTGCCGCTCGCCGCCGCCGCC